GAGCTGTGTTCATGCCACTGCCCTCCAGCCTGGGTGACAGAGTGAGAACCTGTCTATATAAAAACAAAAAAACCCCACTGATCTAAAGGAGTTTGCTGCCTTATTTATGTGCCAAGGAACTCCTGCTTCTTGATGTAATGAATAAAAATTCAGCAGTTTAGGCCAGAAGCTTAGCCTCTCAAATTAGGGAAATTTTCTGTGGGAAGAAATTTGAAATTCTGGTTGGGTCATAAAGGGTTATTTACAGTTGCCTCTTACATTCAAATGGGATTTATTATTCTGTCTTCTTTATGATAAGAGGGAGGATCTGAAGGGTAAATAATGGTTCTGTTCTGAAATGTTACAAGCAAGTAATTTAATTTGGAAATCTCTTGTTTCCAGTTGCCCATTGGACGTCAGTGTGTAAATCATTACCGACGGCTAAGGCGCCATTGTGTCTTTTCACATGAGGAACTCATTTTCAAGATGGCAGCAGATCCAGAATGCTTGGATGTGGGGCTGGCCGCCATGGTTTGCAAAGAATTGACTCTCATGACTGAAGAAGAAACGCGATTAAGGGAGTCTGTTGTACAAATGGTGAGTTTGCTGAGCATATTTCCTATATTTGATACTACATATGGGATATACTAAAAAATATATAGAAAGAATCCATTTTCATCTTTGGTCCCTTTAGGAGTTGAACACAAAAATCTCTACTTTGGAGAAGATGTTATACTTTTAAAATTGCCATTTTGGTTTCTTCAGATTGAAAAAGTTTTAGGAGTCTTAATGTCATCTGTAGGGTTTTAAAACTGCAATCCTGTCAGGTAGAATTTCTTAGGTATATATCCTTTAAATCTACATATAGTATTATTTATTTAAACAAGAAAATTTAAATCCTTTTTTCTCTGAGCCTTGTCTTGAATAAAAATTACGTTTCTGATGATTACAGACTGTCAGTTTGAATTAACCTTTTTTTCTCCCTTTTAAGTAATTTAATGGATAGGAAGGACAGGATTACCAAGGGTTGGGATTTTGACTGCTTAGAGTGAGCTAAACATCTGTCATGTTGAACTTTCGCTTTGTCCTGGCCCATTCCCCTCATCTTCCCTACATAGCCTCACGAGGTTTGCATCATGCTCCCTCCTGGTTTTGTGCACGTCCCTCCTCTCTCTGCCTGATATTCTGTCCCTGTTTTTAAAACAGGTTTGTTGAGGTATAGTTGACAAAATAAACTACATGTGTTTAAAGTGTACAATTTAGTAAGTTTTGACTATGTGTATGCTTACGAAACCATTGCCACAATCAAGATGATATATCACCCCCAGAAGTTTCCTCATGCCCCATTGTGATCCTTCCCTCTTGCCCTTTATCACCTTCTCTTCCTGTGCCTCTCTCCCCCAATTCCCAGGAAACCACTAATGTTTTAAAAATTTTTTTAAGGTAGAATTTTATTCACATTGCATCAAATTTATACCTTTTGTCTAGCTTCTTTTAGCATAATTACTTTGAGTTCCATCCATGTTGTTGCATGTATTAGTAGTTTATTCCTTTTTATTGCGGAATAGTTTTCTGTTGAATGGATATACCGCAATTTGTTTATCCATTCACTTGTGGAAGAACTTTTGATTGTTTCCATTTTTTGGCTGTTGGGAATTAAACTGCTGTGGACATTTGTGTACAGGTTTTTGTATGGACATATGCATTCATTTCTCTTGGGTAAATACTAAGAGTAGAACGATTGCATCATATACTACATATATATTTATTTTTTTCTAACAAATTGCCAAACTATATTTCAAAGTAGTTGTACCAATTTACATTTCCACCAGCAGTATATATGAGAGTTCCAGCTGCCCTGCATACTCACCAATACTTGATATGGTTAGTCTTCTCAACTTTAGACATTCTAATAAGTTGGGAGTGGTATTTCATTGTGGTTAGTTTGCATTTTCCTAATGATTAATGATG